GCTGCTCCCCTCAGCAGTGTACTTCGTCAGTCTGCCTGTTCTGCTCCCCATTCTGTCTCTGGTGAATCCTCTCACCTTCCACATCTCTGGCCTATACTCCAGTTCTATGTGAATAAATAAATCTTTTTAAAAAAATATATAAATATATATAAGTTCTTACCACTGCTGTCAGATTAAAGGCCATATTCTTTAGCATGGCTTATAGGGTCTTGTATGAAGCCTTTGTTTCCTCCCATTGGCTGCCTCCACTCCAGCTACATAGGTCACTTCCGGTTTTTCATCTGTAATAGACACCTTCCTACCATAGGGTCTTTGTGCATGTGTTTACTTCTGCCTAAAACCCTCTCCTCTATCCTGCTGACTCTCCTTCAGATGTGAGGGCAATTATCACTATCAGAGAACTTCTCTTTCTATACATTGACAGTGGGTACCCTTTCTTTGTAGTACAATCACAGTTACAGTTGTGTGAGACTAACCAATATCTGCCTCCCCCTTGAGACTGAGACTTGCAGAGACAGAAATTGTCTGCTTTTTCTTCTCTTCTCTTCAGCAAACTAGAATAGTATTTGGTATATAACACAAGCCTGGTGAATATTTTTTCAGTGAAGAAATTAAAATCATTACAATTGATTTTAATGATTGATCATCAACTAAAGATGAGTGAAAAGCATTAGGGCAGGGTAATGTTGAGACAGAAATTCAAGACAAGCAGAGGATCATATAGGTCCATAGAGATTGGCTAGATTTGGGTTTAGGTCCAACACTGCCACCAACTTTTTTGTGTGATCTTGACCAGGTGATTTCTTCCCTCTGAGCCTTAGTTTCCTCATTTGCAAAACAGATAGTATTAATACATGGTTTACATAAGGATTAAGTTAAATGAGATAGAACGCTTATAAAGCAACACAGTGCCTAGCCCGTAGTAAGTGCTCAGTGGTGAGGGATTTTTCTAGTTCTGTAGTAAACATGTGACTTTGAGCAGGCAGCTCACCATCATTTAGAATAATTCTTCAGTTCTTCCCTATAGGAATCTGCTAAGGCCTAAGGTAAAATGAATATTTCAAGGTCATAGAGCTAGTTTTAGTTAGAGCTAGTCAGGACTTTAGAGCTCCAGACTTCTAATCCAGTGTTCTGTTCTTGACACAACATGGCCACCTGAGAAACAAATTTCCAACTATTGCCTAGGAGTCTGAAGACAGGGTCTTTTCCAGCACAACCAAATAATGGTAGGACAGTTCCCTAACAGCTGTCATTACCTAGAATGGTGATATATTTGAAAGCAGGAACCATGTAAATGATTTACATTGTTATCAGGAGTTTGAGGACTGGCTACTTGACACTCATAAGCCAAAACTTATGACAACAGATAATAGGGGTGTCTCTTGTGGCCTAGGGGTTAAATCTCAGTGCTGACATCACTACAGCCTGAGTTTGATCCCGGGCCAGGGAGCTGACCCATATGTCGCAGCAGACCTCTCCTATCTCGCCTGCTGCTCTCCTCACTCTGTCTCTGGTGAATCCTCTCACCTTCCCGTACCTCATCTATGAAGAAATTAAAAAAAAAAAAAGTGGAAAGAAATCAAGTTTAATCAGGAGCCAGCAAACCTGAGGAGATGGCAGATTACTGTCTCAAAGGCCATCTCTCTGAATTAGGGAGAAGCGGGGACTTGTGTGGGGCATACTCAAGAAGAGGAAAGGTTAAAATGTCTGTGTAGGCCAGATTTCAGAGAAATAGGCAGGTTTTTCTAGGAACTGCACTCATGTTCCTTTTTCTTTCACGTTTGATCTTGACTGGATCTGGCAAGGTACTTGCATGGTAATAAAGTGGTGGCTTAACCTTTGTCTTCTTCCTCCACCTTGGTTTCAGCCAGCTTTGCCTGGTTGCCTGGTTTTGTCTGCAAGAAAAAACAAAGTGGAACAAAACAAGGATGAGCAGGACAATGAATTTACAGCTCTCAGGCTAGTGACAGCTTCTTCTTGCTTTATATGCTGCTCCTCATTCTTAAGAGACCATGGATAGAGGTTTGTTTTCTGGAACTACTTCCTGTTGAACAGGGGCAGAATTTTAGTGCTGAATAGAGATACAGATTATTTTGCTATAATAATATGAGGTATGACTGGTTGCCACAGGGTTTTAGTCCCAATTATTTGCAGTTTAGTGTTTCCAACTGTTCAGAAACAAAGCAATTTAGTGGAGAAGCAAAGAGCAGAGATAAGTATATCACAGTGAGGTTATTGACCATGGGATCAATAAGGGCCCTATCTATCCAAATACATTAGTTTTTTGTTATGCCTTGCCGCAGTGACCTTTCCTGTGCCCTCAGTTCCCATCTAGCCTTGGAACTCAAGGTTGATGGAATTACTACACCTGTAAATACAAGCCTCAGAGAGAGGTTACAATACTGTTTATATCCAGGAAATGCACTTATTAAAGTCTTCAAATCCTAATGAGGAAAGAGCAGAAGTAGTTACTTTATTTGACATTTTCTCTTCTTTTTTTAAGATTTATTTATGCATATAAGAGCTAGGATCTAAGTCAGAGATGAGGAGGGTGAGAGGATTCACCAGAGACAGAGTGGGGAGCAGAACAGGCAGATTGACTGAAATACACTGCTGAGGGGATCAGCAGTCAGGTCAGGGGAAGGCTGCTGTGCCATGTGGGTCAGTTCCCTATGCTGCAGTGGCTGTGGGTAACTTCACAGTGCTGCTTCTTAGCCCCTTGTGCCACCAGGGAGACCGCCATCTTCTCTTTTAAGGTACAATATGATCTAAATGTTTCCTTTTCATGGACACATATAATTTGCAAGTGGTTTCCCAGACACACTCTGTAATGTCCTGGTAGTAGGCCAAGACAATTTGTTAATTTTTTCTTGAAATCTGGGAGGCTTGAATTGCTTGGTGGAGACAGTTTGTTAATTCTCTTCATCCTCCTTGCCTCTCCAAAAGCCAGTTCCTATTAGTGAACTTCCTTATTAGTGAAATACCAAGCAAGGTATTTTTTTTAATGATTTTTTGCTATTCTATAAGTCCTGGTATTATCCCTTACCTTCCATGGGTAGAAAAATTTGGAATAGAGCCTCCCCTGGTGGCACAGTTAAAGCACAGCACCATGAAGCTCTCTCTCAGCAGCCACTGCAGCACAAGTTCAGTCTCCAGCCAGGGAGGTGACCCACGTGGCAAAGCAGACCTCTCCAGCTGTCTCGCCCTCTGCTCCCCTCAGCACTGTATTTTAGTCAGTCTGCCAGTTCTGTTCCCCACACTCTCTGGTGAATCCTCTCACCTCTCCCCCTACACCTCTGGCCTGTATCCCAGTTGTGGTATGCATAAAATAAAAAAATCTTTTAAAAAAAACAAAAAAAGAAAGAAAAACATGGTGTAACTAGGGTCAGCCAGTACTTACACTCAACAGGCACTGCCACCATGTAGAGATGGAAGTTAGAAAGTCTCCCCTTGACACCAGACCCCTTGCTATGTTTGAGCAAACTAGCATTATGACAAAAATATTGCCTTCATGTCATGAAATGGAAAAATTAATACAGTGGTTTTCTCTTACAGCTAAACAGGAGGAGCTGACTGACAGTGTAAGCAGAGCTTTCGAAGAAGGTACTTTTTATATTTCTTGACTTTATTAAATATGGAAAGAAATTGTAAACACTGAGGTATAACTGAGTACAATCAGTAACTGTTATGTACCTACTACTGTAGGTACATGAGATGGTAGAAAATATAATATGTGAGTCTACATTTTTGCCTTCAAGGATTCAGTCTTGCTGAAACCTTACTGAAATTTGGCACAAACTATGAGTCAAAAACAGTGAAAGAAGAGTTAAAAGAAAGTTCCTCCAAGTAAAAGATGAAAGAAGAGCTGTGTAACAGAGGTCGAATTTGAATTCTACACAGGCAGATTCAAGTAAAAACAACCTTTTTAGCCATCTCTGACTTGTGCTGCCTCATAGGGAAGGAACTTAGGGAAGCATAAAGCCACTCAAACTAACCCAGATAAAAAGAAGCTATTTTAAAGAATCAATGCCATCTCCCAGAATTGTAAAGACAATGTTCCTGAGATGATTATATTACAGTATGAGAGGAGCTTTCCTGGAGCAGAACCTGGAAACCAGAAAGAGATTTGGAACCAAGACTGATTCTGAATTTGATGCCCTAATAGTTTCTTCTTCCTTCTCTCCTCTCCATAAACCAATTTCATCTACTTTCTTAGTAGTGTACAGTGCCCCAAAGTGGCTTCTTCCCCTGGATGACTACATAGTCCTCCTTTATCTGTTACCTTATAAGAGCAAGGCCTTTTACCATATAACTAGAATCCCCCTGCCTTTCAAGGCTCTAGTAGGTCCTTTGCAAATGCATCCCCCTCAGTAAGCATTCTCCTGATTTGTGTTAATCATTCACTTACTCTTCCTGATTGTTTTAATCATATATGATTATCATGGTATGTTATTTAATTTTGCATAGATTTTAAGTTAGGATTTTTCAACATTAACACTTGACAATTCAAGTGGACAGGCCAATGGACAGAGGAAGACTTGTCTTGTACACTGCACAATGTTCAGAAACACCCCTGGTCTCTGTCCACTGAATGCCAGTACCACCTCCCCAACTATGACCAAAAATGTCTCCAGTTACTCCAGACAGCACAGTAGTGACAAAATCACCCCCTAGTCAAGAAAAGATGGTCTGAAGGAAGGCATCATTTCTAGAGACAGCCTTCTACAGGAGCATTACACCTCAGCAGAGGAAGTACTCATTCTTCTCAAAATTAGACCCCCTTGTATGAGGGAGAACTCTTAAATCACAATCATTTCATTTCTTGGGGGGCTGTTCTGGAGAGAATTGGCTTCTCCTATTTAAGGTTTGAATCCTGTAAGCAATGTGCTTTTACCCCCTTTTTGATCATCCTTTTGTCCCTATGTTCTTCCACTCACTTACTTAGACTTACAGAGTAATTGATCTACCAGAGCCAGGCATTCTTAGATTTAGTTGCCTTGATCAAGGTGGTTGGTTTTATTCGTGGTTGAAATGAAGCCTCTCATTAACATCTCTTTATTTCAGATGATTTTGAAAAAGCCAAGGAAATTTTAACAAAGATGAAATATTTTTCAAATGTAGAAGAAAAGATCAAGTTAAAGAAGATCCCCCTCTAACTGTTGCTAATTTTAATGTTTTTAAAATAAAGTTCTTGTAGATTTCCCTTCTAATTTCTTCTAATTGAGAATAGATATACTGTAATCACTTATCTTTATTCAAGCATTACTGGATGGCCAGGTTCATCATGCAAGTGGAAATATTTCTCACCAGAGCTTGTGTCAGTTCTTTATGTGATAACTGATGTATCTTGCCCACTGTCTGGGCCAGTGGATGAGAAGATGGGGAGAGAGCCAATCTGAGGCCCTATAGTAGTGGTCAACAACCTTTTCTGCAAAAGACAAGTAGCATATATTTTAGACTTTGTGGACAAGACTATCTGACATTTACTCAATTCTGCCATTGTAGCACTTCATTTATAAGACAGGCAGTGAGCTAGATTTGCAATGGGCTTGCCAGCCTCCCCTCAGCACACCTACTTTCTGATGGCATGACCTTCACTGATAGGTAATTCCCTCATTAGTGTGACTTTTAGTGCATTCCGCAATCACACAAAAGTACCTACAGGTCTCTTTGACCATCATTTCAAAATGTGGATAATACTATAAAGAATTAGTCTGTTTTGGGCCTCCCAGGTGGCATAGGTTAAGTCTCATGCTATCACCTCTGTGGCATGATTGGATCCCTGACCAGGGAGCTGACCCCCATGATGCAGCAGACCTACGCTGTTTAACCCATTGCTACCCTCAGCAGTACATTTCAGTAAGGCCTGTTCTGCTCCCTGCTCTTGTCTCTTGAGACTCCTCACTTTTGGCCTATACCCTCGTTCTTCCACCCCAAAAAAGTAATATAAAAGAGCAATGAGAAGGAAATCAATAAACATTTTTTTTAACCAGCCTTTTCTCTCAGGACAATTGACACATTTAGCCCAAAGCAGCTCTACTTCCTCTTATAGGTCTTTGGAAATTCAGTGTAAACTCTTGATTGGTTTAAAAAAAAATGACTCAAGGAAGATTAAAGTAGGAGGTTCTGATTTCAAAGTCCAAGAAACAACATTCAAACTCTTACGGGAAAATAAACTCTTAGACTTTAAACCCAGGTTAAATACTAGAACTAAAAACTGCAGCTCCTTTGCATTCAGTTAACATTTTAGAATTTATGTATCTACTGAAGGCAAATTAACCACTAGCTGGCTTAATAGGACTTGGGAATACCAATACAGTTGCCAACCCTTTCAGTTCATAAGGACTTGTCTATAATACACAGGAAGTCTTAGGTAAATAATTACAATGCAAGCAAATGTCCTGATTAAATTGACTGTTTCTGCAGAAAAGGAGATGAAAGGAATGTTTGGAATACTTCTGTAGACAGTTTTCATTCCTTTTGCACAACAATGATCAAAACCAAAATGATCTGACCACAAAAAGAAATCAGGTAAATGTTGCCTCAAATGACATTTTTGGCAGGACTTCAAAGAAACTTGACATTCCACCTGTCACCATCAGCTAGAAAAGTCACTGGGTCTCCCAGAAAACCATTTCAGACATAGAGGATAAATTTAAAAAGACGGAGTCAAGTCAGATTCTTTTTTCCTCTTCCAAATCCTTTCCCTTTTAGTCTAAACTCCAAGATTAGCTGAACTTCTAAATCTAGGAACCCTTTCAAATGCTATCTGACAAACTCCTTTGGGAGATAAGTAGTCATCTGAAAGCTTAGCAGCCCTATTTGGATTAAAGTTATTAACTGAAGCCCAAATCATATCCAATCTACCTCTTTGCCCCCACCCTCTGTCCCCAATGTGGCTATCTTTGGAGATGGTACTTCAGAAAGTAAGTAAAATTCAGTCATAAAGCGGGCCCTGATCCCTCCCTGGTGGCACAACAGGTAAAAGCACAGCACCATGAAACTCACCACAGCCACTTCGGCGAGAGTTTGATCCCCTCCCCAGCCAGGGAGGTGACCACATGGTGTGGCAGACCTCTCCTGTCACACCCACTGCTCCCCTCAGCAATGTACTTCCTCGATATGCCTGTTCTATTCCCCGCTCAGCCCTCTGGTGAATCCTCTCACCTCTTGCATCTCTGGCCTGTATCCCAGTTCTGTACATTCATGCACTGAGGAAAGGCCATATGAAAAAGTGTCAGAAAATAACCATCAAGAAACCATGAAGAAACTCCTCTCACCACAAAATAAAACCTACCATGCACACACCTCAATCTTAGACATCCAACATGTGACAATGAGATTAATTGTGTTACTCAACCCTGTCTTTAGTCTAATTTTGCTACTCAGCTTGAACAGAGTAATATATATGGGTTTGAATCCAAACTCTGGTACTTTGGTTTGCTGTGAGAACTTGACTGTGCTAAGTTTCATTTATTCATGGGATAGTGTGGTGTGAGACATCTGAGGGGGTATAAACCTAGTCCTCCAAATCATATTCAGTTTGTAAACCAATGTTGATTCAAATGAAGTTGTGAATATTAAGAGAATTTTACAAATTATTTAGCATAGAAAAGGACAGTGAGACTCATAATTTTTTAATTATAATGACTACTTTTATTGTTTATTTTTATAACAGACTTGTCTTTAGCAACAACAAAAAATGCCTTTTATGAAAAAATACCCTTCCAATAAAGTTTCAAGTACCTACCATGTATAAGACAATACTGAATACTGAAAGAGAGAACAATTAGATGTGCTTCCTGTTTTTTGGGGGGAGGATTTTTATACCAAGCAGCCAAAACAATGTTTCTATTTGCTATATACTTACTATATGCCAGGCACTATGTATAATACCTGACATCATTCCATCAAATTCAACTTGTTTTACAATAAAAGTCCCAGAAGGTAAGAATCAAGAAGATTCAATCCCAGATCTCTACAGATTTAATCTTAGCATAAATTTATATGCCTATTAATCAGAAAGTTCCAAATGAACTTGAAACAAATGTTAAGTTCTTTATTATATAACACTTGCATTTCTGTATGAATTTTACAATTTGTCATTTAAAAAAGTCAGCTAGAATTTTCATAAAGATTGCATTGAATCTGTAAATCAGTGAGGAGAATATTCTCTATTCAAACTATTATGATTGATGAAGATAGACTGTCTTTTCAATTATTTAGGTCATTTCTGATTTTTTTCAATAATGTTTTGTCATTTCAGTGTAAAGGTCATGTGCTTATATTGTTAAAGTTACTCCTGAGTATAGAAAGCCCTCACTTAATATTGTCAACAGATTCTTGAAAATTGCAACTTCAACAAACAGATGTATAATGAAACCAGGTTCTTAAATAACGCCGTCTGGTTCCACATTGGCTGAGATTCCTTTTTTCATCAACATAAGGAAAAGCCTTTGACAAAAGTTTTTTTGAGGGCTTGCTGTACTTTATTCTTTTTGATGCTCCTGTAAATGAAATTACTGCCTTATTTTCTTAGTTTTCAGATTGCCTCCTGATGACTTATTGCCAGTGTATAGAAATAAAATTGATTTAAACTTATTTTTAAAACATTGAACTTGATTTCTACTGCCTTGCTGAACTGTTACTCTAGTTGCTCAGATGTACAAATATGATTTCACTTATTCCTAGCTAAATTTTTATTTTTATTTTTTACATTTTAAAAGGATGGGTTTACGAGGAAAAGAAAAAAAGACAACTTTGCACAAATACATGAGGGCAGAAAGTGCTGCTGCTACTGCTTTGAAAGGGGAAAATGAAAAGAATCACCTGCATAGTCACAGGCAAGCAGGAGAGATGCACACGTATTCCTTCCTAATTCAGAGACCTGATAGCCTTTACTAGAACCTCCAGTCACGTGTTGAATAAAAATCGTGAGAAGGACCCTCTCTGGTGGCATAGTGGGTTAAAGCACAGCACTATGAAGCTAGATGTAGCCGCTTCAGCACGAGTTGGATCCCGGCCAAGAGGGTGACCCACATGGAGCAGCAGACTTCTTACCTACCCACTGCTCCCCTCAGCGCTGTGTTCTGCTCCCCACTTTCGTGAATCCTCTCTCACACACACACACACGCACACATGCACCTCTGGCCTGCACCCCAGTTCTGCAAGCATAAATAAATATTTTCTTTAAAAAAAATCGTAAGAGGCCCTCCTTGGTGGCGCAGCGGGTTAAAGCCCAGCACTGAGAAACTAAAGCCACTTTCGCATGAGTTTGATTCCCGCCTGCCCCGGAGGTGCCCACATGGCGTGGCAGACCTCTCCTGACCCGCCCGCTGCTCCCCTCAGCAGTGTACTTCATCCATCTGCCTGTTCTGC